AGTTGTTGTCATTTCTTCTTTGAGTGTAGAAGACTAACTGCTGTTGCTTCCTTGGTTGTCTTTCCTCGAACAGATCCATCTCCTGTTGTTCAGCGTGAAGCTCGGCGCAGAGGTGCATCTCCGAAATTCTTCCGTGGGCTCGAAGAAGTGATCGTGTGGTTCTCCATTCTGGCCCGAGCCCGGCGAGGACAAGTGTCACGAAGCTTTCTTCAGTGATCGTTCCTCCGCACCGAAGCAGGCGGTCGCGGAGGGTCTGGCAGCGACTCATATACTGCATCGCCTTTTCCCCGGTCTTCATCTGTATTGTTGTCAGCTGTTGCATGAGTCTGCTTTGTGTCACGCTGTCGTTTGCTTGGTAAAGGCATTTGAGGTGGTGCCATGCGAGCTCCGCGGAGTTTCCATAACTCCGATACGTTCTGATGCTCTGCTGCTCTTGTGGTGACAGGTTTCTCAGGAGTACCGTGTACGCCAGCAGCGACTGATATGTGAAGATCTCTTGTTCCTTCCCAGTGCCGTTGCTTGGGAATGGCAGGGACCCGTTGAAGTATCCCAGAAGATGCGCGGCCTCCATCAGCAGCTCGAACTCGAAGCTCCAGGTAAAGAAGTCGTGTCCGTTGAACGGTGAGGATGTCTGAAGTTTGATCACGTGTGAGAACTGCGCCTGTAAACTTAAGATTTCATTCGGTGTTTGTTGTGAAGCAGCTGCTGTTTGGCTGGGCACGGGGCGGCATGAATTCGAACGTCCCCGGCGAAGAATGATAAGGCGCAAAGGTAGGCGCTTGATTGTGTCGCCCGAAGGATGAGTTGTCGAGGCTCATCGGCGCTAATCCCATATTCCCTCCATTGCTCTGTGTTGAGTGCGCAGGTGTCCTTGTCTGCTGCTGCTGATCGAAGTGTGACATGAAGCTGAAGAATCTCTCCATGAGATTCGGGTCCACACTTGAAGAGGGAGACGGGGTCACCATCTCTGGTACTCTTCCCGTTGTTTCTTGAGCAGTCCCGGTCTCTGTCTGCAGTCCTGAGGTGTGCAGACCAGAGTTGCCGTGTTGAGTTTCTTGGGCGCTGGGTGAGCCCGTAGAGACTTTCTTGCCCTTGTTGTCCATGTCTTGTAATCAATGAAGTCGTTGAATTGAGTTGAGTTGCAGGTTGTTGATAGGACGTAGTTGCTGGGAGTTTGGTCTCTGACCAGCTCTCATACCATATTGGGCTGAGAAAAGCCCTTAGGATCTTTTGCAGAGACTAAGTCCCAGCTTGTAGAGACTTGAGACTTGGAGTAGTGCAGCGGAAGTTGAGGCAGTTGAACCCTTGTACTAGTATGTGAGAACAAGTGATTGATTAAAGAAACAAGCATACAGCAATATATAGAAGGTAAGAAAGCAGTTGCAGAGTACAGTTACAGGAACGGTTTATCGAGTCGCATAGCGACTCGATTGCCGCTTCGGTTACCATCCGTGATGCTGTAACGGTCAGTCGCAACCTCCAGTTGCGACCCTTTGAGTCCCAGACCCTTCGTGTTCTTTGTCCGCCCCCTCGTGTAACCTCCGTTGACTCGCGTACCCCTTGCAATCTTCCTCGAGTGTAGTGTTACACTTCAGAAACGCTTAAGTCTTTTGATGTACTTTCAACACTACTTACTAACACACCAGATAGTAGTGCATTCACCAAGCCTCCAAGTCTCTACCATATGTAAAATAAAACAGAACATGTGTTCGTGCCATGACGGTGAATGTTGCAATATGTTCGCCATCGCAGCTTTCTTGCGTGCAGCAGAAGTAATGCAGCGCTCAGTAGGTGGGTCACCTGCGAAATCTGCGACGTGGCTTACTCTGATTCCACGCTTTGTCACGTGGTAGGGTTGGATTATAGGTCCGTATTGTTTACTTTCCCCCCTACTAGCGGGAAACACGGTGTTTCTGGCGAATGGTATCCCGAGAATCCCTGAAGCCTGGATTCCGCGCTCCGCCAAACGAATCGTCCAGGTCACGGGCATGCCATGCCTGGCCTATAGGAATCTATTTCCACATGACCAGGTACAGGCGTTGCGGCTCCTGAACCTGCCCCGCAAAATTGGTTCGTCTGCCTGCAGCACCTTGCCAGATGCCCAGAGCATGGTTTTGAGACCGAAGGATCCGAACCGAACTGGAAGAGCAGAACATTTCTTTGGCTCGGGCTGTTCTCCAAAGGCGGGCACGATTGCCCCGATGTTTTTGCCCCTTCCAGCCCCAAGGGGCTTCCGTGCCTGAGACAACCTCAGGTTCGGTAGGGTTTGGCTGCCGTTTGGTGCTGGGGCTCGGCTGGCTGACTTTCCGCTGTCTCCCTCCTTTCTTCATCAGAAGCCATACCTGTTGACTTCACAATTGATCCCATCACCCATTTTATTTCCTTGTCAGTATTTGCCATTGCTCAGGGTCCACTTTCGATCGTCACCTTGCTGTCCACGAGGACGCACCTTAACGCTCGCTCCTGACCATCTGTATTTCTTTGACTTGGCATTGCTTCATTTGATTAGCATGGCAACCGCGACGTCTCAGCAGCTCTGCAGTTTAGCGGGTATAAGCTTCAGGAGCAACGTCCGTTCGAATGAGTCAACATCGTTCAGCAGAGCTCTGTTTCCTTCCAGACTTTCTAGAAGCAACGCCAGTTTAAGGTCGTCATGGAGCGAGGCGGAGCGGCGGCGGCACGTTCCCGTGCAGTCCGCCATGGAGGCGATGGAGGAGGAAGCCACCTTCACGCCTCGTTACAAGCCTTGGGAAACCCAGAGCTTCTTAAAGGAGAATTTCCCTCGCTTGCCGCAGGTTTCCTCGCGTCCTCTTGTGCCGAGCGACAGGGCTGACGATTTATCGCTTCACAATCCGCTGAGAAGACTGGAGCGGATGGGTTGCGGATGGCTGGCCGTTTTGTTGGAGTGGGAGGGGGTGGTGATTGACGACGATTCTGTGTTTGAACGGCAGGCATGGACAGCGCTTGCGGAGGAGGAAGGCCGACCCCAGCCTCCCGTTTGGATTCTCAAGCGGGCCGAAGGCATGAAGAACGAGCAGGTTATTCGCGAGGTGCTCTGCTGGTCTCGCGATTTCATCACCGTACGGAGATTGTCGCAGAGGAAAGAAGAACTTTATGAGCAGTTCCAGGGAGGTTGCTACAGGCTGCTGCCGGGCTCCAGAGAATTCTTGGAAACGCTGAAAGCGGTGCAAATCCCGGTTGCAATTGTTTCTACTCGTCCAGCGAGATACCTGGAGCGAGCTGTTGAGGCTGTTGGCATGGAGGGCTTTTTCGATGCTGTCATTTCTGCGGATGACGTGCGGCGAGGAAAGCCCGATCCGGAGATGTATCAGGTAGGTTTCTTCGTTTCCTCTCCTGATCCGGTAACTCGGAGCGCTGCCGTTCATCTGTTATGGTTTTTTTTTTTTTCCCCCGTTTTCGTTTTCGGATTCTGTCTCGCAACGTGTTTCGTGATTCCTGTTTTGGGAACTCACTATGTTTCCCTTGCATTTTCATGTGTTCAGTATGCGGCACAGCGACTCCAGTTTATTCCGGAGCGGTGCATCGTCATCGGGAGCTCCAACTCCACCATAGAGGGGCGCATGATGCTTACATGAAGGTAAGTACCTCGTCCGTTAACTTACCGTCCGCATATTTCAGATCATTGCGTTGTGAAAGTCTGACAAATCTCCTTGTTGCATGTGCAGGTGGTCACTGTTGCAGGAAAGCACCCGGCCTATGAATTGGGTGCTGCGGATTTGGTGGTCCGTAAGCTGGACATGCTATCTGTGGTGGATCTTAAGAATCTGGCGGATCTAGACTCTCCAGAGTTCACTCCACCGCTTGAGCTAGAGCCCGAGCTAGAGCCTGAAGTGAAGATCACTGGTGTGGGTACTCTGTGAAGATTGCACCGTTTGTCTGAGTCATACTGGTACATTTGTTCATCCTATTGGCTGGATGTTCCAGCTGTAACTTCATTGTACATATGGGCTGTGGGGACGCTCTCCATTTTAGGCATGCTGTCTTGTCCATCGGTGCCGGTGCTGTTGTTTGCTAAACTATCTATAATTTTATGACCTCAATGTTCTACCCTAGCTTTACATTGGGTTGAGACCAATTCAATCAAACGTGACACCAGATTTTAACAGGATTTCTCCACTACCGTATCACCACACTGCCGTCCTGGCCCTAGAGCCCTGCAGAAAGGAATGGGTGTGCCATCCCTTCTCTTTCAACCCCCCGAGCATGTGCGGCAGCAGCTGCTCCATCTCACCATATGCCTCCCTCACACAACTCTCCCAATCACCCCAACCGGCACCACTTGAGCTGCTCTTGCCAGCCACAGATGTCCTCCTGCTTATTGCCTGGCTGATGCAGGATGCTAACAGCCATCCTCTGATCGCATCCTGACCGTCCGCTGTCTTGTGCAGGATCAGATGCATTTTTTTAGGCACCCCCCTGCTGTGTCCCGTTCCGGGCAGCTCAAGAGAAACTTCTCATTTGAGAACAGCTTCTTCAGTTTGGCCAAGTTGCTTGGAGATCCCAAGGCTTCTGAAAGAGGAGCCCCCACACATAACCTGCTGCTGCTGCTGCTGATGCTGCTGGTGGCGATGGTGGTGGTGGCACCAGCAATGCTACTGCTCCTGGCACTGCTGCTTTTCACGCCCTGCACTGCCGGCTGGAGAGCAAGGCGATGAGCGGCAGGCAGGATGTGTGGCGGGTCGGGCTTGACGATGTTCTCCTTCCACCGCATGTCCACAGGGCTAAGCAGCTCGCCGCTCTGGAGGGAGTCAGGGGTAAACGAGGGGGAATGTCAACAGCAGGCAGCGGGCAGCAGGCAGGATGTGTGGCGGGTCAGGCTTTACCATGTTTTCCCTCCACCGCATGTCCACTGGGCTCAGCAGCTCGCCGCTCTGATGCTCACAAGGGGGGCGGGAGGGGCGGAAGGGGAGCATAGGAGGACCATGGGAAAACAGGACGAGATTCATAGGGAAGTTGGGCGAGTTTTGGCTGTGAAGGGTTGAGAGTTGAGTTCGTTGGTTGGTGGGCTCGGCAGTTGTGAGTGGACTTGAGACATGGAAATGGCTGCTCCAAGTGCGGCTCATGGAGAGGAAGTGGCTCAGGAGGACGTTGGTGCGATGTGCGATGAGGTTGTTGGATGGCACCGCTGTTTTGAATGGACTCAGAGACTCGCAGAGAGAAATGGATATGACTGCACTGAGAGGAAGAATGGCTCACAGAGAAGAAGGGAGGCTCACGAGAGGAAGGAGGCTCATAGAGAGGAAGGGAGGCTCATAGAGAGGAAGGGAGGCTCACAGAGAGGAAGGGAGGCTCACAGAGAGGAAGGGAGGCTCACAGAGAGGAAGGGAGGCTCACAGAGAGGAAGGGAGGCTCACAGAGAGGAAGGGAGGCTCACAGAGAGGAAGGGAGGCTCACAGAGAGGAAGGGAGGCTCACAGAGAGGAAGGGAGCCTCACAGAGAGGAAGGGAGCCTCACAGAGAGGAAGTGGTTGATGAGGACGTTGGTGCGCTGCGCGTTGAGCGTGTTGATGGGCACTGCTCTCATCTCCTCTGTCACTGACCATAAATGTACCGCCGCCAGCACCGGCACCGCTGCTAGCTGCAGAAGCAGGGGGAGAAGAGATGAGGGTTTTGAGACGTCCCATAACATGATGGGCGTTGAGAGTGCTTTTTGGCACGCGCCGCATGGCTCTCATCTCCTCTGTCACTGACCACAGATGTACCGCCGCCAGCACCGGCACCGGCACAACTACTAGCTGTTAGGGAGATGGAGGACGAGATGGAGGAGAGGATGGGGGGAGAGCAGTCTGTCACCGACCACAGGTGCTACACCGCCAGCACCGGCATCACTGCTAGTTGTGGAGGGATGAAATAGTAGGGGCAAATATGGGGTAGAGGAGAGAAGAAAGTAAGCCATCACGGACTACAGGTGCACCGCCGCCAGCACCGGCACCGCTGCCAGCTGTGAAGGGGTGGTGGGGATCGTGAAGACTTGAAGTGAGAGGAGATACGGAGAAAGGAACGTCGCAAAGTCAAGAGGAGTGCAGCAGCAGCAGCAGCAGAAGAGGCATGACGTGGGCACTACCTTAGCTTGTGCGGACTGGCAGACAGATGAGGTGAGGTTGAGGCCGCAAGCAAGGCCTCCAAGGGACGAGGGCGCGCTGATGGCCTCGCCCTTTGGCACGTGCATGCATGCTGGCATGTAGGTGCGAGACCCATACTGGCAAGATCTAGACTGACCTTGGCTTGCGCTGACTGGCAGACAGAGGAGGCGAGCTTGAGCCCAAGAGCAAGACCGCCGGAGGGATGAGAGCACGCTGATGGCCTCGCCCTTGGCATAGAGGTCGCTGATGTTGCCCTCCCTGGCAAACGCGTCGTACAGAGGCAGGCGGGTGGCACGCGCTATCACAAGGGAGAGGCCCTGTTATGCACAATGGGTAGGCATGGGTTGGGTAGAGGGAAGGGAGGGCAGAACAGTCTTAGCCCTTGGCGTAGGGGTCCCTGATGATGCCCTCCCTGGCAAATGCGTCGTACAGAGGCAGGCGGGTAGCGCGCGCTATGACCAGGGATAAGCCCTGTTGCGAATGGGCACATGATGGGGAGATGGAAGGCACCAGAGCACGCTGATGGCAAGAGCACAGAGGGCGTACAGGTCGCTGATGTTGCCATCCCAAGAGTACCCAATCTCAATCAACCCACGCTCAAGAGCACCCACGCTCAAGAGCACCCACGCTCAAGAGAACCCACGCCCAAGAGCACCCACGCCAAGACCACCACGCTCAAGAGCACCCACGCTCAAGAGCACCCACGCCCAAGAGCACCCACGCTTAAGAGAACCCACGCCCAAGAGCACCCACGCCCAAGAGAACCCACGCCCAAGAGCACCCACGCCCAAGAGCACCCACGCTCAAGAGCACCCACGCTCAAGAGCACCCACGCTCAAGAGCACCCACGCTCAAGAGCACCCACGCCCAAGAGCACCCACGCCCAAGAGCACCCATGGTGCGACCCAGACTAGCCCCTCCGCTGCGACCCAGACTAACCCCTCTGACCAGTGGAAAATAACACCGACTCGACTCTCACCTTTCCAGCATTGGCCAGCCCGGCTAGCAGCAGGAAGCGGTGCGGCATGATGGGCGAGAGGCACTCGAGGAACGCCCCCACGTCGCACACCACGTCAGCAGCCACGCGCCACCGCTTGGGGTCCGCGTCCATGCTGCGCCCCAGGCGGCTGGCCGCTATCTTGCTGGCGTGCTGCATGCCGTCCTTCACCACCCAGCTCACGATTGTCGCTTGTACCGGGGTGGGGCGGGAGACCTGCTGCGAACAGGAGGGACTGGGGCGCATTGACAAGGGTGGTGGGTGGCGGGATGGGGGGTACGAAACACATGAGATCACTGGCCGCGATCTTGCTGGCGCGCTGCATGCCGTCCTTCACCACCCAGCTCACTATGGTGGCCTGCACCGGGGTGGGGCGCAGGCCCGCTGCGAAGAGGAGCTACTGGAGGGGGTGGGGAAACGGGAGCATGCATGGGAATGCGCATCACATGTTGTACGCATACTTACCTCCAGCAAACTTCGGGTACCAGATATAAGCACACCAAGGGTACCCGATATGAGCAGACCATGGGTACCCGATATAAGCACACCTGTGTGGAGAGCACGTTAAGAGCCGCCACGGCCACGTGCTGAACAGCCCTGTACTGCGAGAAGAGCATGTAGCCGTCCGCCACACTGCAGGCAGGGGGCACGAAAAGGGGGGAAGGGGCGGAAGGGGGGAAGGGGGGGAAGGGAGGGAAGGGGGGGAAGGGGGGGAAGGGGGTGAAATGCGACAGTGGTTGCATGAATGCGACAAGGGTGAGGGGAGACCTTCGAGTTGGCTCAGACGAATGGAGGGAGGAAGGGGGAAGGGGAAAGGGGGAAGGGGGGTCGGAGGGGCGGGGCAGTACAGGGAGGCACCGGAGATGGAGCACCTGTCAGAATAGCTTTTGAGTCCACTCAAAAGTCAACAGGGAGGCACCGGAGATGGCCTACCTGTCAGGATAGCCCTACCTGTCGGGATAGCCCTACCTGTCCGGGTAGCCCTACCTGTCGAGATAGCCCTACCTGTCCGGGTAGCCCTACCTGTCGGGATAGCCCTACCTGTCGGGGTAGCCCTACCTGTCGGGGTAGCCCTACCTGTCAGGGTAGCCCTACCTGTCGGGATAGCCCTACCTGTCGGGATAGCCCTACCTGTCAGGATAGCCCTACCTGCCCGGATGGCCCTACCTGTCTGGGTAGCCCTACCTGTCGGGATAGCCCCACCTGTCTGGATAGCCCTACCTGTCCGGATGGCCCTACCTGTCGGGGTAACCCATGGGGAAGAACTTGTCCTTGAAGGCTGCTATGAGACGATCGGGGATGGACCGGGTGTCTGGGACTATGTACCCCTGCCATGCCATGCCATGCCGTATGAGTCATGCCATGCCATGTCATGTCATGTCGTGCCATACAATGCAATGCACATGCACAAAATGCAGAGCAGTAATGGAGCGCCACGCCAGGCCGTACCATATCAGCACGTGTCAGCGTATGTCAGCACATGTCAGCACATGCCAGCACATGTTAGCACATGTCAGCACTTGCCAGCACATGTCAGCACATGTCATGGGCGCCTTATGGAAGAATGCGTGCATAATAAATTCATGGATAAGGGGGCTGTCGGGGGATATGTGACAATTCTCAACAATCACGGGCTATCGAGGGTTCAAGAAAGATTTAAAACAGCGGGGTTCGGACGGCGTGTAAGTGGGGTTTTAGAGGGCTCGAACACCCCCTTAGCCTGCCCAAACCCCCCCTCCCTTCTCCCCTCCTCCCTTCTCCTCTTAGCCGCACTCTCCAAGCCCCTCCCTACAGTCACATTCACCTCAATCACACCACCGCCGTCGCCCCCCACAAGCTGGTACTCCCGCTTCTGCCCGTGATTGGACACTTCCACCCACATGGCCCGGCACGCGCCTTCCACGTGCTTCCCCACTCCCGCCACGTGGCGACCTGCCGCAGCCAGAGCCTTTTCTGCGGGTCCGCTGCTCCTCCCGGCCATTCTGAAAAAAGTCCACTTCCGCTTATAACTG